CACCCCCCCACCCCCCACCCTACCCCTTTTCTTGCTGTGAAGGGAGCTGTGAAGTCCTTTGTGCTGCTTCTCTGCCAGGACAACAGTGTTTTCTGAGAACGCTCTTGGCTTTGGAAATCATTGTGAATGTGCTACTGTGCGGGGCAGTTTGGCTTCGGGAAATGGCCAGCGTTCCTGGGTTTTCCATTTTAATCTTACCGTTCAAAGTGGGTATTGCGACATAGAACGGCTCAGTTGTCATGTCGTACTTTTTAATCTGTGGCTGTTTGCTTGATTTTTAGTAGAAAGAGAATATTTATCTTTTGGGGTGCACGTGATTGCCAGCCATGTACTAAAGTGCCAGTGGGCAAAGGTCCTTTAGTTCTTATCTTCATTTTAGCGTCAGCATTCGGCGGCATCGGAGAGGTGGTTTAGAACAGTGTTCCTCGGTCTTTTTTTCTCCACTGCACGCCTGGGAAGCCTTTTAACACAGTTGTTCCTAAGTGGACTCCCACTCTATGCAATTTGAATTTTACAGATATCCTGTATATCTACTTCTGTATTTTACGTACACACACACATACGTATCTATATATATAAAAGCCTAAGCGACTGGAACAACCAGAAGGACCGGGTGCTATGACACGCACTGACCACCAGGGGGCAGACGCTCAGTGCAAGAGCTGCCGCCTGGTGGTCACTGCGCTTCCACAGCCAACCTCCCCTGGTCCCTCCCCCCGGCCGGCAGCCAGCAGCCAGAAGGAAGTCCCTGGTTGGCCCTGATCGCTGGCCAGGCCTAGGGACCTTATCCAAGCATGAATTTCATGCACCGGGCCTCTAGTGTGTGTGTGCGTGTGTGTGTGTGTGTGTGTGTGTCTGCCTGGTTAGGTCGGGGAGTGGCATGTTGCCCCTCTTGCCGACTCCTCAGGGTCTGGCTTCGTAGCCAACAGCCAGTTCTCCCAGCTGCCCCTGTGCTCAGTCTGTGACGACGCTGCGGAGACGCGGTGTCACACTGTGTGTGGCGGGAGGGGAAGGACCATGTCAGTAACCTTCTCAGGTAACAGGGATCCTTTGGCATCACCCGAAAACTGTGTGTAGCTTCTTAAAGGGGTCCATGCAGTGTAGGATCTCAGGCACCATAAAGACTTTTGTTCTGTTGCTTTAAAATGCATTGGTCTGTCTTTCACTTGGAATAGCTATTTTGTTCGTGAGTAATTTCGTACCGTTATGCAGTGGTCACTTGGAAAATACTGGTTCGCTGACTGGCGCTGATCTTGCAAACCTTGATGTGGTACCACCCACCCACGTCTCATCAGTGTCACCACCGATCCGAGCCGGAGCCCCCTAACCATTGGGGTGCTGGTCTCGATGGCTTTCCGCTCGGCTGTTGTCCTTGGCATACGTGCTATTCGCTGTGTTTCTCCCAGTGACGGGCTCCGTGTTCATTTCTGAGAAGATGTCTGCCTTGTACCCACGCCTGAATAACGAGAGCTTGTTGAAATGAAACCCTGTTTCAGAAAAAGAAGACGCGGTCCGGGTGCAGCTGGGACAGAGTGCAGCGCTCTCTCCCCACCCGGCACACGAGTCACTAACAAGACACGTGTGTTCAGGGTCGAGACTTAGTAAAATGGACTTGTGTGAACACGTGGCGATGAGGCGTCCCCCAGCTTTTCTCGGGGGCCCTGGCAGGGTTTGGCTCCTTGGCCAGGCCCCAGGTGTCCCCCCTGTTGCTTCTGTAACACGTCAGCGTGAAAAGGCACATAGCTGCTGAGCGTTGGTACAAACCAGGATGACCGGCCCCGCGGTGCACACGTGGACAGCCCGGGGGCAGCGCGGACTTCGGAGCCAGACCACCTGGACTGGGCCCAGGGCCATCCCTTCCGAGCTGCGTACGTGACCTGGAGCCCTGGCCCTGGCCCCAGGCCAGGCAAACACACCTCCCTCAGGAGCCAGGCCCCCGGCACAGAATGTGCGTCCGCAGCTTTTGTATGTCGTCACTGTTAGTTACCGTGTGAAATGCGACAGGGCCCTGCACAGAACCGTGCGAGGGGCGCGGCCTGAAGTGGCGCACGTATGTGTGTTCCAGGGCGGCGGGATCGGGTCCTGGGGTGACCTGCCTTCGCGGAGTAAGAAAGGTGGCTGTCAGAACCCGAAATTGGACCCTGAGGGTTGAAGGCGCTCCATCAGCTGGCCGCCTTGGTTTGTGATCCACTCGAGTGCATTGTGGCTCCGGGTTCTGAATCTGCGTTCGACCCCCCCTCCCCCACCGGCGTCTGTCCTGGCAGTTCAGGTGTGGGAATGTCAGGTGGTAACGTGAATGCCTCCCTCGCTGTCCACCAGGTCGAGGGAACTTCCCTGGCAAAATGCGGCCCTCGTGTCCCAGATCCCGGAACACACGCATCTTAATGTCCCTACACCTTCCGTTCCTGTGGGAGCTTTACACGAAGGGCCTGCTGTCCCCGCTGCCATGCTGCTCGCGGCAAGGGCCCCTTGCTGCTGAGAGAGGGCACGTGGGACCCTCCCATCCGCTCCGATTGCTGTTGCCTTCGAGTGTTCCCCACACAGGGCCTCTGTCCTGGTGGTTTTTAATTCTTAAATGATCTTTAAAAACGTTCCATTAGGCAAGTCGTATCTTCCCCAACAGGCTTTTAAAAGAACAGAAAAGGTGCCGATCAGAAAGCGTCGCCGTTCGCTTTGCCATCCGTGATACGTCCTTTGGGTTGGTTCGTCGATGCCCTTTTACCCGAATGGGCAGCATGTTGTGTGTGCGTTTCACGTTGTGCCGTTTCTTTTTTCTGATGGTGCCTAGTTACCCCGTGGGAGACCCTCCGGGAGCGTGAGGGGCCGCAGGGCAGTCTCTCATGGGGCCCTTAGGGGGAACGGCCAGGTTGCTTTCCAGAATCATCGCCCCAGTTTCTCATTTCAACAGCATCAGCCCACTTCCCTGTGCCCTCGCCAGCCCTGATGCTAGGCTACATGCCTTTTAAACAGAAGAAATTATGCACGTTAAAATGTGGCCTTGGACCACAGTTTAAACCACTAGAAATTAACAGTATTACAGAGCAACATTCACTAGTATAACGTATATTATTATTACTACTAGAGGCCTGTTGCACGAAGAGATCCGTGCACTAGGCCTTCCCTTCCCCTGGCTGCCGGCACCGGTTTTCCTCCGGCACCCGGGACCAGGCCTTCGCTCCGGCCGGAGCCTTCAGTCTTCGCTCCGCCGCTGCGCGCCTGCG